AAATCTTCACCTAGGAACAACTCACGCACGGTCTGTGAAGAAGTTTGGCCGAGACCTCAACCCAAAGGCAGAGATCCGAGGGTCATCCGAGAACGGTGAGCGAACTTCCGGCGTTCTTAAATCCTCCGATAGTCAAGAAGAAAATTATAAAAAGAATACTAGGACGTAGCCTGTAACACGATCTAGAACGTTGCCGAAGGAATCATATTGATCCGATCTACGGATCGAAAGATATGAAAATCGGAAAACAAAAACCGACTGGGTTTCGGTTTCCAAAGGACAGAGAAGAAAAAAAAAGAAAAAAAAAACGCCCGGCGAGCGACGGAGGGCGGCGACAGGCGCCGGACACGCGTCGACCACCGGTTGGAGCAACGCAGCTCCAACGAGGCGTCGACACGTGTCGCCTGCAAGCCGGGCCGAATTGCAACGCGAGCCGAGCCGACCGGATCGGGCCGGGCCGGGCGACCCGCGACTGTGCAGAATTGGGCGCGCGTGCAGCCTGCGGCTGGCGCCTTCCCGCGCGCGTGGCCACGCACTTCCAGCGTGCTGCTGGGCGCGTGAGCGCGCGTGGAACGGCCAGTTTGGCCCGGTTGTTTTCTGTTTTCTCGATTTTTGTCCCGGCTCCAGTTCTAATACTGTTTTTACGTGGATAGGGACTTAATTTAGAGAAATCAGTAGTGTTGGACACCTCACGGGCAAAGAAACGCTAGCGAAGGGGCACGCGTCAACCAGGTAAGTCACCACCCGGTATTTAGGAAGAAATACTTGTAGGGTTCGCTTGGAATTGTATGTATGCATGTTAGTAATTTTGCCTTAAATTAGCTCTCCATGAATGAGATTAATTAGATGGATTGTTACGATGTGTTTGGTGAATTATCTGAGTGTTGCTTGTATGCCTTAAGCTTCCGTTGTACGTATGCATGCGTTTAATTTATGTTAGAATTGTGTATGCCGGGTTTCGGGTGCTCGATGGACGAATTTGCCCCATTGAACGCGAACCTCGTGCTCTGGGTGCTTGATGGAGGTCATCGCCCCGTTGAGCCGGTATGCCTAGTTTGCATGAATTACATACTATGATGTTAGAAGAAGATTGCATGCACCCTCTGTTAATTGCTAGGGCCCATTTCTATGATAAGATTAGGAAATTTCTTTTAGGAGCGATATGCCGCTCTAGACAGACTTAATTTTCCCCTAGAAACTTAGCGGTTTACCACGGTAAGAAAGTACCTAAGGGGGTTCATAGATTGCTAGCGTGAGAACGGTATCTATAGCTTCGTGGGAGGACCAAGGGTCCCTGATCAGTCCTTACTGTTCTTAGCCATTTCGCATGGGGAATGTGTCCCCACGTCGTACAGCCCATTAGCTGCATGGGAACGGGTTGGGTCGCGCCCCCATAGGAGGACTATATGGGCGTAGGGGTATTCAGCACACCCCTAGGCTAGGTACCATGTAGTTCTAGATAGCCATGTAGAGGTAGCGCCTCATAGAGAGATACCGACCATATTAGCTTGGCATAAGGAACCTCTAGGTGACTAATGAAAGGACGATGAACCGGTGAAACCCAAGGGGCAAGCCCCAAGAGACTAAGGTTAGAACCCGATGTCCTAGAACCGAATTAGGAAACCGTGGGAGTTCTGCTAAATTAAGATGCGAAAAGAGCCTACAAGTAGGTGGCTTACTGAGTATAATTTTTATACTCATCCTTGCTATGTTTTCTTTTTTTTTTTTCAGGGGCGCGAGGCGTCGGTCAAGAGTGGGCGTGATCTGAAGGGAATTGTCACAGAGGAATGGGTTGTCCCGGGGCGTCAGTCCAGTCTTAGTCATCATTTTTGTATTCGCATTCTTTTTAAATTTATTTTCCAAACGGTCTTGTGTTCTGTGTTTATCGTTCGAAAAACTTTATTGAAATTTGATGATTTTCGCTACTTCATATTTAAATCTCTTGTGCATCTGTGTCGTGTCGTTAGTCACTGTCCGTAGTAAAATATTGGGCTGTGACAAATGTCACCATAATTTTCTTATCTTGTTCATTTCAATATATATATAATGTGTTTAGTGACATCGTTACTTATGCATTATGAGTTTGAATATTTATGATATTATATATCATTTAGATGAAATTTTGAATATTTAAGATATTATATATCATTTAGATGAAATTTTGTTGTATCTCTAAGAGTGAAAAGTTTGAATGACAAATTTTTAAAATAAAGAATTTCATAATCTTTGAAATGAAGAATAATCTCATACTACACTTACAAATGATGAGGTCCCCCAACCAAAAATAACCCTCGTAAGCTTGGCGTAGATTTGTTCATGTTCATTGGCACCATGATGTTGTCTTTGACATGTGTGACTTTTACCACCGTTATATACATAACATTACCAAAAAGTTTCTATCGGCGCATCCATGATAGTACCTTAACGTCAGGGCTATCCTATCTGAACTAATTAGTTTGAAGACATTATTGGAATTTTAAATTTTTGAGGTCCAAATTTTATTAGAATTGGACCTTTAACCTCAGAATAACGAACATTTTTATTCATAAAATTATTCATTAAAATTGAATGAAAGTCCGATTACATTATTTCCAATGATCCACTAATCTCAAGGCATTGAGAGATCCAGGATACAAGTGAATACCTTGGTCACCACTTGCCCAAGTGTAATTATGATGAACGCATTGATCACTAAACCAGGTTCCTATCTCTGGCCAAAAAACATCACCGGCAACTTGTCCATATTTGCTACTCAAATTGTAACACCCAAAAATAAATAAATAAACAAATAAAAATTATTATTATGTATAAAAAAAAATAATAATAATAAATTAATAAATAAATAAATAAAAAAAACCATTATTCCCTCTTTTCTCTCCCGTAAGTCACTTCCCCAATAATCTCTCCTCAACACACCTCACAATCCTGGAAAATGAAATAGAAATGAAAAATCTCAAACAGACATGCCTCACCAAATTTATAGGAGATGGGTTAACAGAAATGATCAAAATTTACATGAGAGAGGGGAGAGAGATTTGAGATTTCTCGATAAGTTATATCTCGGATCTCCTTTTCTTTTATCCCATTATTTAGTTGAAAAAGTAACAAACAAAAATAAAAATGCTAAGAAGAGATATTGCATTTGAAGAGTTCAATAGTTTTCCTTTTATTTTATTTAATGATATTAAAAGTCATTCTGAAACAGAGGGATAATTAAAAGAAAGAAAACACAGGAAGAGACAGGGAAGACTGTGAATATAATTGAAAATTATCTGGAAAATGTTAAAAGGTATTAAACACCATCAGAGAAAATAGAATATCTAGGAAATTTTAATGAGTATTAAATGGTTTGTATGAAAATAATACTATAACAAACATATATAAATATTTCAACACCTAACTCAAGCAAAGACTCTAACGTTCAAGACTCTAACGTTCGCATGAAGTATAACACATGGGTCAACATAAATTAGAGAAATAATTTTATAGAGCTCAAACTTGAAACTGATGTCATGGGCTCACATAGGTTAACTTGGAGTTCAATGGACTTTCATCAAGGATAGCGACGGAATCGAACTTTCATTAAGGATATATTCGTGACAACGACTTAAGCTAACCAGGTAAGTGACCTTACTATCGGCAAGGTTATATTTGATGTTGACACGTGCCCTGTGGTTCTGCACGTGTCATATATATTGATATGTGTGAATTGTCTGAGGATCGATATGCTTCCTATATGTTATGTTATGTTATTATATGTGGATTGTATGATAATAATTATGGTACGATGTGCTCTAGGAGATGTTTGAGATAGGGTACGAGAAGGATGCACAAAACGAAATGTAACGATAGGAGTAAAATACGTTCATGAAATGTTAGAGTTAGGTTACATACTGAAGTGCTATGAATAGGAGAGATTGATGAAAGAATACGGTCAAGTTATGGGTAGAAAGGGATAGGTTTGTGATAGATTGATAGAACGATAGCGTTAGGGTACGTTCTTGTGACGATATGACCAAGGTACGTCACGTAATGATATGTCTGTGATAGGTATAAGAACGTTAAGGCTATGGTAAGTTAGAGAATGATATGACTATGAAGTGTTTACGTTATGACTTGGTTATGATATGATACATTGTATGCTAGATTATTGTGCTTAAGTACGAAATCATGTGAACGTGAATGTATGTTATTTATGTTGCTCAGTTGATGTGATATGAATGCATGTGACGATGTGTGACCCTTGTACGATTATGGCTTGTTGTATGAGTATTGGAATGTAACTGAATGAATTTTGTGACATGAAATACGGTAAATTGCATGATACATAACCCCGCTAGGAATATGTATGATGTGTAACAGAATGAGAATGAGAATGACATGTAAGCATGAAAATGTGACACGGGGTTATGTTCATTAAATGATGACTGTAGGACTAGTGGGACCTCATGCATATTGTGTGATCATGCATTTGGGGGGATACCCCTATCCCATCACGAGGGTACGGACGCGTACATCCAAATGGCAGGACAACGATCGTTATGCCCTGCATAGCGCTGCCGTGACGGTTTTAGTTTTAACGGGTCCCGGTGGGCCCCTAGAGCATGCCCACCGGCTAGGGACAGTGGCCCAGCGGTGTGCGAACTAGCTGGTGAGCCCATACTTGCACGTATGGGCTGCGTGTAGAGTATATGGTACACGTCCACAATTACCTGTTAGGATTACACCGTAGGGAAAACGAAACAAAACGAAACGAAATGAAATGAAACGAAACGAAACGAAATGAAACGAAAGATAGGTCCCATCATTTCATTGCATGTGATTGTTGCATTTAACCCCAATAGTGGGGTCACTTACTGAGTATTTCTTTAAATACTCAAGCCATGTGCTACTACATTTTTCAAGTTAAGGCAAGGCATTCCTGTACGGCTGACGACGGCATCGCAACTCGAGATCATGGCACATGCATAGGATAGTGACATTTATTTTCTTAGACTTAAGATAGAATAGGATGTTTTAAACTTAAACGCTTATTTATTTTATTTCGAGTCTTTTGTTGTGTCGTTTTAAAGATGTTTTTGAAACACGTAAGTCCATGGCTGTGTTTTAAGTTAAAGGTTATGTTTTATGGAATTTAAATGAAGTCTTCCGCATTCAATGTTTATGGTATGTATACAGTAGCGATCTTAAATTAAGTAGAAAATTTTGGGTCGTTACAAAAATGGCACCAAAACAACGTAGAACGCCAAAAATTTTCTTTGAAACTCTAGTTGTAGTTTTCTCCGGTGCGGAGTAAGTATATGTTCACCCAGATCATCATTCTTTGACTTGCAATAAACCGTTAGAGTTGAAGCAGTCATAAAATTTAAAATAGTCACTTGCCATGGGGTGAATGGTAATTGTAGCTTAGATTCTGCAATGCAAAACTTCATCATATTGTTCGATGTCAAAGCAGCGAACACGATTAAACATAAAATGCTTAGCGACGACATTTTCTTCTCTCTCTCACCCCTTTAAAAAACTTATTTCTATTCCCTTTTATATGTACCCATGTAGTCAAAGGGAGGGGGTATGAAGTTATATTTTAACCACAATTAATTGAAAATGTAACGACCCTAAATTTCCACATACTCAGAGTCGCTACTAACGTCTCATGCTCATCTATAATGTGGAAATATAACTCCTACATGAACATAATTGATAACGAAAATTTCAGAAAAAAACGTTTAAAACAACTTCTTCTCTGAAAAACACAGCCATGGTCTTACGTGTTTAAATATGAAATACTGAAATTTAGAGAAAACAAAAACAAATACAAAATAATTTAAAACAATGGAATGCAAAATAACCTATTCTAACTTAAGACTAGAAATTTAAATATGAGTCTACCCTATGCACGTGCCACAGTCTCTACTCGCGATGCCGCCGTCCTCCGTACAAGTGCACCTTGCCTTTACCTGAAAAATGAAGTGGCACACGGCCTGAGTATTTCAAAGAATACTCAGTAAGTGGCCCC